TAAAAATGGTAGTTGTGTTGCTTAATCCAATCAGATAAAGTTTGAGAGACTATTTTCCTATTCAAATGTCAGATTTTTTATGTGTGTAACTAAAGAAACACTTTCTAAATGCATCTATCTTTCAGAAGAAGATAAAGGTGGCAAAATGGCTGCAGCAGATTCTGTGCAGCAGAGACGCCAGTACAGACGACAGAACCAGCAGTCTTCATCTGGTATGGACACTGAAGATGTTTTTCTCTACCTACATTACCTTGTTTAAAAGCATGCTTAAGAGGCCGGGGGCAGTGGCTCATGCCTGTAACCTTAGCACTCTGGGAGGCTGAGGTGGGTGGATTGCTTGAGCTCAGGGGTTCAAGACCAGTTGTCTCTAAAAATAGCTGGCTGTTGTGGCGGGCACCTGTAGTCCCAGCTTCTTGGGGAGTCTAAGGCAAGAAAATCACTGGAGCCCAAGAGTTTGAGGTTGCTGTGAGGTATGACGCCATGGTACTCGACCAAGGGCGACAAAATGAGACTCTTGTCTCAAAAAGAAAAACAAATAATAAGGTACAAGTGTCCATCAGTGTGTAATGAGTATACTTAGAAAGAATAGTATATTTGTACCTACATAGAAATCTGTTTGAGGGGGTAGCATTTAAGCCCTTTCTTAAACTAAAAAATTTAGTTTTCTATTAAATTGTTATAAAAGTAATAGATCTCTAGAGTATAATAATAAAACAACTAATAGGAATATACAGTTAGAAACATATCATTGTTTTCCTAACACTCTGATTTTAACCCTTCCCCAAAAGCTTTTTATTAAGAAATTTTCTGTGCATACAACAGCATCTGTGGTTAAAGGAGTCAAAAAGTGAAACTTAGAGCAGCTCAAACTATAGGTTGTTACCTCCCTTAACTCAGTAGTCTATCTAGAACATCTTTCTTTGTTCAATACCAATGAATCTCCCCCATATTTTTGCTACTTGCAACACCGAGCCACTTGCCTATTTGGTGGACATTTAGGTTATGTTAATTTTCTGTGTATTTAGGCAAATGTATCTGTAAAATAATGATTGGAGTTGTTGCGTTAAAAAGTATGTGCATAGATATCTGATATTTTTAAATTGGTTACTCTGTGGCTTACTTGGTATTTATAACTGAGTCTAGGCACTATCTTTGCTTTATATTTATGAAATGAGAACCAAACCACCCCACATTAAAAGCTTAGAGTAACTAACAAAAATCAAGTAATTGCTTGAGATGTTTTTTAAGCTTTTATTTAATTATTTGTAAATCATTAGACTTTAATTGTTTTGGTTGATTATGTTGTGGAAATTGTATGTCATGTATTATTTGCGTAGTGAATATTTATGCTTGACCTTGAAGTCATTGAACACATCGATACTGGCTCTTCAGATTTGATGCCTTATATGTACGTGCTTACTAGTGAGCACTTCATCCATTTAGATTCAGAAAACTTGGATAGACACTTTCAAACACCAGTGTAATACAATTTTTTTTTTTTTACTGTGTATAGATTCTGGTTCCTCCTCCTCCTCAGAAGATGAAAGACCCAAGAGATCCCATGTGAAAAATGGTGAGGTAGGCAGGCGGCGGAGACATTCCCCTTCCCGGAGCGCCTCTCCGTCTCCAAGAAAGCGCCAAAAAGAGGCTTCTCCTCGGTAATGTGTTTTCTTTACTGATAGTCACTGATATAGTTGTGATGTAACCATAAAGGATAGGCAATGAGTTTATTTTAGAATTGGTTAATTCCTTCATTTCAAGGACTTTTGAGAAGATGGTCGGCTTTTAGGAACCAACCTAAACAACCTGTTTTGGTTGTTTTCTGTGTGTATGTAGTGTTTTTGTATTTTTGTAGGTTTTTTGCTTAGTTATGAATATTTAGTGAAAACTGGGTAAATTTTGAATTATGTCATATGTGTACATAGCAAGAAGAATAAACCAAACAAATAAATTGTAGCATTTACTCCTGAACATCTTTGAACATTTAAAAATACCCCCATTAGTGATATTTAACTCCATCAAAGTAAATAATTTAGTGAATGGAATTCTTGACGTTTGTTTTTCTCCACTGCTCTCAGGATGCAGATGGGAAAGCGATGGCAATCGCCAGTGACTAAAAGGTTAGTTAGATAACTATGTAAATTAGGGCTACATGTCAAAAGTTTTGGTGACTTAATTTCTGGTTTAGGTGAATGGTCCCACTTCTTAGATAAACAGTGGATGTGAAGTTCCTAAGTAGTTTTGGTTTGGTTATTTTTTTCTTTACAGATCAAATTAATGATAGGGATAATTGTACTTGAGATTTGAGATTTATGTTTTAGAGCCTCATTTGAACTTGATTTTTTATTAACTGGTTATTGCTCTTCAGTGATAATTTATGTCAGCTTGTATCAAGAGGCAGAGTTTTTGTTTTTTGTTTCTTTTTCCTTTTTTTTTTTTTTTTTT